TGGCTCCACGTCCTTGCAGCCCAGCGCGTGGAAGGGGACGCTGAACTACCACGTCAGGGGAAGCGGCCCTCCAGGGGTCTCAGTGCCCACTTCGAGCTGCGTGGATTGAGAGACCTCTCTGGGTGCTGTGCTAGGGTCTTTCGTAGTTTGTTTTTCAACTGCTTCTGTGCCTCCAAATGCCATTGTTTCTTTATGTGTTTTATATCTATTTTATAAATATATTTATATGTGTGCGTGTGTATAAAAACAGAGAGAGCAAGAGAAAGAGAGAGCCGGCTTTTATTGGGGGGCAAGTGGGTTTGCCATAGGGTATGTGGGCTCTCTGGAGATACAGTGAGAGGGAAGGTGAACAAACACTCCCACAGGGGGAATAGCCACGCCACAATCCCTTGTCCTCCATTCTCCTCTCAGGATTTAGGACACACACGCACACACACACACACACACACACACACACACACACACACCCCTGGTGTGATTCTCAAGCCACCAGGTCTGGAACTTGAACCGTGGTCAGCCATGTGGGAGTCCAGTACCCCCAACCAGCATGCCACCTGCTGGCCCCAAAGCCAGCTTGAATTTCTCTATGTGCTAGTTCTTTTTAGGTTTTTTTCCATAGGACATGTACATTTACTGGAGAGAGCAAGACACTGACAGGGAAAATGAGAAATTACTCCCCCGTTCCCCAGGAAAGGATGGCCACGCTGCAATCCCTTCTCCTCCATTCTCTTCCTAGGATTTTGGGCATGCATGCACACACACCCTGCATGATTTTCAAGCCTCCAGGTCCAGGATTTGAACCACTGTCGGGGATGTAGGAATGAATCTAGCACCTTAACCATCAAGTCACCTGCAGGCCCCTAATTTCTCTTTTGTAAAAAGTAAAGTTTCTTTCTTTCTCCCATAAGTAAGAGGAAGACAGAGATGAGAGACAGTACTCCTAACAGGATCTCAATACTGAGATCTACCCCAGCTTCAGCCAGCCCGGGGTCAGGGGCACACACACGCCCAGCGCACTCAGGGAGGCCTCTGGCCGCAAATCCATCCAGCCGCCTGATTTACCTTAATACATTCCTTAGTCATCAATGATCACACCAAAAGATAGCATACTTTCAGAAACTATGGCAAAGTGAATGTAAACAGAAATAGTTCTTACACATTTCTCATAAGTGAGATTTAAAAGTTATTTCCTTGGGGTGTATTTTTTGTTAGTTTTCAGCAGAAATATGAAATGAGTTTTTTAGATAATGCTGAGTGACAGGAGACTTAAATTTTAAAAGTAGTGTCATCGTCATCTTCTAAGGTTGTACAACCATCATCGTCTTTCTGAATGTAGTTTGGGAACCACTAGCTGCCAGAATTCTGAACTGCTGCTAATACATGGTAAATTAACACTTCGCCCTGGGAAACTTATCCTGAGGCAGGGATAACGCTAAACTTGTATTAGGAGGGGAAAGGGTATTATTCTGAAGCTTCAGATGTACGCGTTCATTACTGAGGAGGCCGATGGTAAGTGTGGTCTGAGATCTGTGTGCATTTCAGAGACTTTGATGAAACCGTAAAACTTTCCAATAGAGTGTCATCTCAATGGGCCATTTCACTGTGGCATACTCACTCAAGTGACAGGCCAGTGGAGAGGTCTGTGGGAAGGTTGGGTAGGGGAGCTGCCATGTGCCCAAGCCAAGGAAATAAAATAGATTAACTGCTGTCGTTACTTTTCAATAATTACGTTTAGAGTTCTGTTTCCTTTACATTCCCTTTGACTTCACTCACAATTATTAAAGATGGATGGATGGATAGATAGACAGCCACTGAATATTTTACTTGATTTCACAATCGGTCAGTGAGACATGTTTTTTAGTTTTTTAAGTATGTGAGTTTGGTGATTTTTTTTCTCCCCCCAAATTGGTTTATAGTATTTTTTTCTTAAAAAATATAGTATTGTGAACAGACTTTGTATTGTAAACAGAGAAATTCTTTTTCTTGGTTTAGTAAAAACAGTTCTCTTATTATTGGGTTGGGATCCTATGTATGACCAATAGATAAAATCTATTAGTCAAGTGGTTAAATCATCTGCATTACTTTTTCTTTTATAAAAAGAATTGTTTTGGCACCAGCAGATGGTGTGATAGTTACTTCACTAGACTTTCACATAGTCCACCACAGTTTGAGTCCCTGACCCGGAAGCTTAAAACTCTCCCCAGGCACGTGTGCATGCATGTCCAAAATCCTGAGGAGAATAGAGGAGAAGAGACTGTGGCATGGCCATCTCCCCAGGGATTGATTTCTCACTTTCTGTCTTTCTCTCTCTCTGGTGAGCGCACGTGCCCTACAGCAAATATCTCTCTCTAAAACAAATTTAAAAAAAAAAAAAAACAATAAAAAATGTTATTTTATTTATTATTATTATTATTTAATTTGACCAGAGAGAGAGAGAGAAAGGGAAAGTGGGGAAACAAACTGCCAGGTCCAGGACTTGAGCAGTGGTTAGCCATTTGAAAGTCCAGCGCCTTAACCACCAGGCCACCTGTTGGCCCCATCATCCATATTTCTTCTAATTTATGTGAGTTAGAGTCACTATTTCTTGGAAAGGTATCTTAAAATTTTCTGATGTTATTCTGGGGTTTATCAGCTTCTCCTTGTTTATATTAAATAGTTTGAGGCTCTACTAAGAGGTAAATGGAAGTTTAGAATTGTTTCTATCTCCCTAGTAGACATCCTTTTATCAATAAGCAATAGTTATCTTTAATCGAAATAATGTTTCTCACCTGCAAGTCTAGTTTTTCTAATATTGCTATACCACCTTTCTTCTAAGTAGCAACTTCCTGATATATCTTTTCCATTCTTTTTTCTTTTTTTTTTTTTTGGAGAGGTTTTGGCTATAGGGTGCTTGCACTTGCTAGAAAGACAGAGAGGCAGAGAGATAGTCTCTGTGAGAAAGTGAGAAATCACCCCCCAGGGGAGATGGCCACACCGCAATCACTTCTCCTCCATTCTCCTCTTGGGATCTTGGGCACGCACACACACTTGCTCAGAGTGAGTTTAAGTCACTGGGTCCGGGACTCAATCCGTGATTACATGGGAGTCCAGCAACATAGCCATTACACCAATTGCTGGTCCCCCTTTTCCATTCTTTAAATTTCAGGCTTTATGCTTCATTATTTGATCTGAGCACTTGGAATATTTCAAATCATCACCTTCTTCTCTATTTTATCTCCCATTTTCCTAATTTTCTCTTTAAAGGTCCCTGACTGAGGTGTGTTGGACCTTCTTAATCTATGTTCCATCTCTATGAACTTCTCTTCTTTATATTAAATTTTTATTTGTATCATTCTTTGAGGGATTCTGGGCAATTTTTCCCAGACCTGGGTTCTAGTTTACTCATTCTTTCTGCTGATTTGATTGGGTCACTTCCCCAGGCCTGTAAGAGAATAGATTTTATAGTCTTCATTTTCATAAAGACAGTTGGTGTTCCCAGCTCCCATATGAATCACTTGTAGCTGTCCCTCTCTTTTATCCCAGAAGCCTCATCTTCGGTCCCCATTTGGGAAAGAAAGAAAAGCCTAATGCTTGTCTCTGGTCTCTATCCAGAACCAATACTCTTTCTGTGTTTCCACTTAATGTTTCTTATTTGAGTTTATTTCTTCATTCTGATACTTGAAGATGTTTATTTCTTTATTTTGAAAATCTTGACTACGTATTTTAAAAATCATTTTTTACATATTTCTCCAGAGTTTTTATGTGTTTGTCTTGGAAGGGATTACTTCTACATTCAACTCAGTCTTTTAGATTCTTGAAGTTTTCTACAAGTGCCTGATATTAAAAAAAAAAATCAGTACATTGTTTTGTAAGGGTTGTGTTTCTTGATATTTAAGCTTCAGTTTCTTCAAATAGTTTTATTTTTAAAACAGCTTTAGAAAACAAAGAGAATTGAGCCAGGTGGTGGTGTGGTGGTTAAGGTGGATGGATCCCACATGGCCAGCTACATGGTTGGAGTCCTGGCCATGGTGGTTCAGAAACATGCAGGGCGTATGTGTGTGTATGCCCAAAATCCCAGAAGGAGGGAGAAATGGAAGAGAAGAAATTGTGGCATGACTATTCCCCATGGGGGGTGCTTTTTCACTCTCTCACTCCCTACCTCTCTCTCTGTCGCTCTCTCCAGTGAGCGCACACACCTTCTGGCAAATAAAAAAAGAGAGAATATATCATAAAATAATTGTGGGTGGCAACCAATACAGTACCGTATTATTACATAAAAATATGATTGTGTGTTTAAAATAGGCTTCAAAGCTACATAAGATCACAGAATATGAATTTTTTAAAAATTTTATTTGCTTACAGAAGGAGAGTAGATTCATTTTTAAGCATTATTATCTGGATAAAATATCAACATACAGGGCTCATGTTTTTCAAAATAAAAAAATTGAGATTTAAATTTTAAAACTGTTATTAAAATAACCAGATTTTGAGACCTATGCGTGCATTCACCTTTCAAATTTCAATGGTATGGAAAACTTGAATGTGGCTCATTGGAATTTAGATCAGAATTGAATAAATGAAAAAGTCAATTATCACCAAGATACCTCTTGTAATCAGTATTCAGTATTTCATATATGTGTATATTTACATATATATAATACACACACACACACACACGGATAAGTTTTAGTGTTAGTGGTTACGGAGAAATCACAGTCCCTATTTTGAAAGAAGTTACCTAAAATTCTACAGTAATTCATAAGAAAGCAGCTGCCAGTGATAGAGTTATGAAACACCTATATCCTAAGAGATGACAACTTGGAAAACAGTGAAAATGGGGCCGGAGGGCCACTTGGAGGGCTCTGTGTTTACAGAATATCAGGTGGAGTGCTGACCCAAGTGTGACCCTTCCCTCTCTTGTCAGTGGAAGTGGCCACTTTGGCACTTGATCAGATGAGCCTCTCTATGTTCCGCAAAACTTTACTCCTAACAGTGAACTTAATCTAACCCAGATGGTTTTGCTATTAGTATTACATTTCCTTCGTTAGAAAAGAAACATAATTGCACTCTTCACCCAACTTTATAGGGCTTTCCCCCTTGCCTTTGGTAAAGCCAAGTGTCTGTTTTATGTCCAGGAAGCTTTCGGGGTTGGCCAACTCCTACATCTGTCCCTTGTGCCGTGTGACATGGCGCCTGGCTTCTCTGTGCTGACATTCATTCACTGATGTAAATGACAACTCAGTGTTTTCAAGAGAGGTCTTGGGACTTCATTACTAACGCATTACTAAATCATCTTAGCAAATAGTAAAACGAAACAACAGAATAGCATCTTTTCAAACACCGGACCTTGCTTCGCTGATTGGACAGAGCACATTCCAATTTCCTCAGTATTGTAGAGTCAGACTTTGGAGAATAGTTGTTTCTCTCTCGCACTGTAAGTGAATACAAGCACTTCACCTCTTACTCTTTC